GAAACTTTATTTAGTATTCTTTTCAAAGCTATCTAGTTTAAGCACAAGTTCAGTTTAAGAGGAAAATACATTCAGAGAGTAAATATGTTTAGCTTTGTAGGCCATACAGTCTTCATTGCAACTACCTGGCCAACATTTTAGAGTGAAAGTATCCCAACCATAGAAAATATAAAGAAGTGAGCATGGCGAAGTTCCAATAAAACATTATTTAGTTTCACAGATGGTAGGTCAGATTTGGTCCTGACACTGTAGTTTGCCAATCTATAGTCTAGACTCTACTTCCTTCCAGATTTCTTTGCCTCGTGACTGGAGTACCCTTTCTGGAGTTTCTGCTGAATGCCCTGCTTACTCAGCAAGGCCCCTTCATGCTGGCCCGTAGAACCTCAAAGGTATCGGTCCCTATGTGAACTCTGATTATTTTTCAGCTTATAGCTCCTGGCTATTTTTCTCTTAGAAAATGTTCTCTGCCTTTCTTTGTGCACGTTACCCTATAAGTAAGAAAATCAGAACTCATCCAAAGACTTAAGCATATTCTCTGGCTCTCTTTCTCTATATACCTGTCTTTTCTTCACCTCCCTGCCTTATAAATTCTACCTGTCCCAGAATCTGCCTCCTCAACTCAGTGCAGCCCCATTTTTTTGCTGTGTTGAATTATAGATCTTTAGGGTTCACAGACCTTTGGGGTCTATAATTCAGAAAGTGCTCAAGCACAAATCTGAGGTGATGATGAGGTGCTTTTCCCTCTTTCTCTGTGAGATCACAATCCTGTGCTTCCTATCATTCAAATATCTGAAAACCCTTGTTTTGTATATTTTGTCCAGGTTTCTAGTTGTTTACAGCTGACTGGAAACTTCATACCCTTTTATTTGCTGTGTATATCCTAAAAGCAAAAGTCTTCTAATTACTTATTCTAATGTGTAAATTGTCTCTAATATGGCCGGTAAGTTCCTTTAAAAAGTTGCTCTTTAAACCTATCACCATAATGTCATAATTTTTTAGCCTTTCTGTATCAAGAAAAAAATCTCCAGGCTCATCTTGAACTCTCTTTTCATCAGCCCCCCCAAAAGACCATTTTCCCAAGAAGATCTGGTTCTTTGTAATGAGGAATGGTATTTAAATATAGTAAAGTTTGAGGCAGAAGAGTGACATTCAACTTACATTAAAATATCACCATGGTTCTTTATTGTTTAATGGACCATACAGGACAGGAGCAGGGTGCACAGAGCAGGAAAGAAAGCATCGCAATAAAATCACACAAAATGATAGTGGCTAAAACCAAAATAGTAACAGTGGAGATGGGATATAGTCTAATGGCAGGATTGATAGTGAATATAATTCACTGAAATATCATATGTGAATTATAAGATAAAAAGAAACATTATTATTATTACAGCTCCTAGAGCTTGGGACAATCCTCAGTTATAAGATGAACCTTCAGCCAAATTTGGTTTGAATATTAAGATTGATGATACTACAAACACCCCAAGAGGTTAAAAAATGTCTGTTAGTCACATGATGAAGCTTTCTGGGACACCAGGGTAGCTCCGGGGCAAGTCCAAACATAGTGTTAGAGAGCAGGGACCTGAAACTGGCTTAGACTTTTATGGGGGTCGGTGGGTGGGACCCGGGAGAGGAATCCTGTGCACAGGAAGGGGCTTGTGTGCTTTGAGCCTACTGCCAACAGAAGAACCTGGGCTTCTTCATCAGCTTTCCCAGATGTGGAGCCCAAGAGGGAGAGCTGTCAGCAAGCAAGTCAAACTTCGAAGGGTGGAGTCAAACTCTACTACATAGAGCTCCTTACAAGAGGTTTGGTTTTTTTTCTCTGAGTAACGAGAGTGATAGTGTTGCCATTAACAGAGATGAGGCAGACTGTTCATTGAAAAAGTTTGCAGGGAAAAATTCAGAGATTGGATTTAAGTGTGTTAAGTTTCAAAATTGTCTAAGATTTATACTGGAGGTTTATAATTTTTAAAATTTTTTATTGTTGTTCAATTACAGTTGTCACCATTTTCTTCCCATTACACTCCCCTGCCCTACCCACCCCCACCTCCACATTCACTGCTCCCATTGTCTGTTGTCTTTCTCCTTGGGTCCTTTATACTTGTTCCTTTATGACCCTTCCCCTTCTTTTCCCCGTTATCCTTCTCTCTCCTCCTCTCTGGTTACTGTCAGTTTGTTCTTTATTTCCATGTCTCTGGTTCTATTTTGCTCACTTGTTTGTCTTGTTGATTAGGTTCTACTTTATCATTTGTTTGTTTTTTTAATTGTTTATTAAAATATTTTCCTTGTGTTTACTTTTTTACTAAATTTATTGAGATAATATTGGTTAATAACACTGTATAAATTTCAGATGTGCAACTTTACAATATGACATTGATATAGAGTATGTGTGCTCACCACTGAAAGTCTAATCTCCTCTACCACCATATATTTGGTTCTCTTTACCTTCTTTGTCCTTCCCTATCTCATCCCCCTGATAATCACCATTCTGATGTCTGTATCTATGAGTTTGGGAGCTTTTTGTTTGTTGCTCTCTGCTTTATATACCACATGCTTTATTATTTTTTACAAGACCATTCTGCCCACAAAGAAAGTCATGGCTGAATTTAAATAATATTTTTTATAAAAATCAAAATTGCACAATTTTATAAGAGCTTTAATATCAGAATCACTTAAAGATATACAACTCTTAGGTAGTTGATTTCTTTGGACAAAACAATAAGCAAGGGAAATAATTTGGAAATAGGTGAATAAAATTATTTGATTATTTTATTAGTCAACCCTTTGATATTTATCAAACAAGTTCTATATTATTTTATGAGTAGAATGCATTAGAACAGTGAAACTTTACTAATGTAGAGGTCTTGCTATTTAAAATTGATCTTGTATAATTTTGAATTATTGTTTTTTAAAGTTACATGCAATTTATGTTTTAAAATATAACAATTATTCTGATTATTCTACAAAATTAGCTATATTGATTATGTAGTACATTAAAATTTGTAATGTGTCTCCATTTAGAAACATGTCCAAAATTTGTTTGGAAAGAATTAGATTTTAACTTGATTTAGTCACTTTGGAAAAAAGTATATTCAAGACCAGTTCGTTTTTTACTCTCCAAACAAATTGAAATTGACAGAATCAATACCAATGCCAACTTGTATAAAATTAAATGATCTAGCAATTTTCATGTTCTCTACAGTCCATGAGAAAGAATGCATTTGGTCGCCAACACCCTCATTTTTGTTCTTTGTCTTGTCTGTCTTGTGTGTTGCAGCACTTGACCTGATATTGCTGCTCTTCCTTTCAAGTCAATGGATTTAAAAAATACTTCTTTAGACATTAGATCTAGATCCAAATTGCATTTCTGCTCTTGAAAAACAGCAAGTCATTTAATATCTGTGGTCTTTAGTTTTCTTATTTATAAGTATGAGGTTAATGTGAGTGATGTCCATTTGTGTGTAGCTCAAAAAATGCTTTAATGTTATGATTTAGAGTCGAGCCATCTCAGCCATCTATTTTCCTGAGTAAGTAAGATTTTATTAGCAGGAGGTTCCAACTCCAAAAACACCTCCTACTTCCAATCTACACCAATCCTCAACCACCAGACAACTTGCCTCACGGTGTGGAGGCTACCATCTAGAAATAGAGTTGCCAGGTGTGGAATTATCAACAACTCTACCAGGCAGGTAGGGAAGGGGGAAGGGAAGAAAATTTCTGATACTATGATGTCACAGAATAAATGTGAAGCTGATGTCCCCCAGTTATATTATATTACTGAAATATTGGTATCCATTGTTCTATTGTAATTTTGGAGCAGGATAACGTTAACACCATCAGTGTGTGTACTGAACTGCTTTATCATTTCCAAAGTACTTTATTTCACTCATTCATTTATTTGACTGATATTGGTTAATCCCCTTCTAAGGGCAGGCAATGTTCTAGACAATGATGACATAACTGTAATCTTTTTAATTAACTTAACTTCTCCAGGTTCTGCTATTATTTTTTCTCTTTTTAAATAGGAAAACTAGAGCTCATCAAGTGTGTGATCAAAGTCACATGGCTGATCAGTAGCAGCATCATAGTTCAAACTCAGATCTTTAAAAGCATTGCTCTTTATCTTAAGCTTTGTGAAAAATCTTTATGGTTGACCTTGCTTTATGGGCAAATTCCTTCTAAAATTCTAAATAATTGGCAAATAAATATGCATTGTGGAGAAAAATCTGTTGGATAGTTGAGTATTACTTATATATTCTTGTCCCTGATTCTAAAGAAGTATCATTGATATGCTTGGCTTCTAAAAATATTGGAGTCCATGAATGCTAATGGAATGCACTTTCACATGCCCTCTCACACATAAGCTCTTACTACCCTAAATATTTTGTGTCAAGATTAAAAAATGGAAAGCCTCATTAGGCTTTTAGATCTAATTTACACCCTTGATCATAGCTTGCAAGAAATGCTGCATTTGAGGAGACTTGGGGTACTTTTCTAGATCAATAAAATAATAGTACTTTCTCCTTGTTTTTTCATATTGAATGATTCTTATGAGTAATCTATAGGCCAGAACCCTGGGGAGAATTAGGACAGAGAGATAGGGGTTTGATAAATGAAACCCCTAAGAACACCATGTTTCTTTATATAGTAAAGTGAATTCAACTTTTTCCTGGCTGATGTGGCTCTGGATTGAGCACCAGCCTACAAGCCAGAAGGTCACTGGTTCTGTTCCTGGTCAGGGCACATACAGGCCAGGTCCCCACTAGAAGGCTTGCAGGAAGCAACTGGCTGAGGAAGCAGCTGGTCAGTGTATCTGATGTGTCTCTTATACATCCACATTTCTCTTCCTCTCCTTCTCTCTCCTTTTCCATCATTCTAGAATTAAATAAATACAATCTTTTTAAAAGTGCTAACATGAGTCCACTTTTACTACCTTTTAATTCACTGATGTGTTAGTAGTGTTTCTTCATCCTTTTGTTGTTCTGTTTTCTGTTTTCTAGGTTGCTGCCTGCATGGGTATCAGGAATGTCAGAATGACAAATGCTATAAGCCAGAGCAAAGCGGTAGTTCTGTAGATGACTGAGGAGATTCTACTGATGAAAATGAATGTAGGAGCTCCAGTACTTTTCAACTCCTGGTTGAAAACTTTGGGTTTTGGGGATTGGCTCTCAACCAACCCTAAGACCTCCCAAAGACTACACTCTTGGAAATGAAAACGATAGGTTGTTAGTGTTAGGTCGGAGCTGCTCAAGAAACTGATAGATGTAGCAAGCTAAGGAGAGCAGTGTTTATTAGCAGGGAATAAGAGGGAAAGTGGACCCAACTGAGGGAGGTTAAGAGGAAAGTGGGGCCAATCAAGGGAGGTTGGGAAGTCAACCAAGGGAGGCTGGGACTCAGCTGGTTGTTCTTAGATCAGGGTTTTTAAATGCAAAAACCTGCGGTTGGGGTATTAGAGTCTGATTGGCTAGAGCTGCTTGTTGGGTGAAAGCTGTATCCTATTATGCCGGATAAGCCCACACCAGACCCTAATTTTCCTGGAAAGGGTCTGCAGGCAGTTTCCCGTGGTGCCATTTTCTCTCCTGGTGATTTTCATTCCTCCTCGGCCTGCCTAGATGTAACAGTTAGGTTGTCGCCATCCCTCTAATCACACTCACCGTAAGCATCACATTTTCTTCCCTGACAGCAAATGGAGAACTCTGGAGAGACCCCCGCGTGGTGCCACAGCAAGTGAGTCAAACATTTAATCAGTGTCTTTGTCTCCTAGGACTGCCATAACAAAGTGCCACGGAGTGGGTAGTGTAAACAACAAACATTTATTGTTTCACATTTCGGGAGGCTAAAATTCTGAAGTAAGGTTTCAGTGGGGCAGGATTTGAGAACTCTGGGGGAGAATCATCTGTTCCAGGCCTCTCTCCTAGGCCCTGGTAACCTCAGACATTTCTTGGCTTGCAGATGGCATTCTCCTCGTGTCTTCACATTGTGTTCCCTACATGCATGTCTGCCTCTATGTTCCAATTTTCCCTTTTCACTGGGACACAGCCATATTGAATTAAGGCCACCCTATGGGCCTTATTTTAAGCTGATTGTTGAAAAAGACTCATTTCCAAATAAGGTCACGTTTACAGGGACTGGAGGTTAAGACTTCAATCTCTCTTAGGGAACACAGTTCAGCCTCTAACAGTGAGTAATCAAAATCCAATCTTGTCTGGATAATTGCAGGTAGGGAGTAATGCAAGCTGCCAGAAGGTGCATTTCCTAAATGAAACACCCTGAATTCTGCCACATGTTTGATCTTTCCAGAATCTCAAAGTCCTGGTTTCTCAGATGGTGACAGTAAAATTTGCCTTGTGCGCCAACGGGTTGTAGAAATCAAATGTGATGATGCATATGTGGGGAAGGTGGTGGGAAGGCCATAGAGGTGCCACGCAGATGTCACTGTAGGTCACACAGGTTCAAGGGGTTGGGGTTGGCTCATTTTCGCAATAAGGAGTGAAGGTCAAGTCTTAGACTTACTGGTGGAGAGACAAAGGACATTAGCAGAATAAAGAAGGGACATGAATTTTTGGGTGCTACAGGAAAGAAAAAAAGGTGTTTAGGTGTTGGAATTCCATAGGCCTATGAAAAAACAAAGTTGCCCAAATCAGCCTGACCGAGCCAGAGAAAGGAGGGTCTAAGTTCTGCCCAAACACTAGGCTCTACATACATAGCATGTTTGGGATATTTGGATACACAAGTAGAAAACTCAAAATCTTTCTTTTTGTGTTGCATATTAAAATTCTCAGTGTTTTATTTATGCACTCTACTGATGACTGAATTTTTAAAGCTCCCTTATTTATATTTCATAAGTAATCTTTGCATTGTCTTACAATAACAGAATAGTCTGGGGAGTCCATTAAATGATTTCTGTAACTACCTTGTTGATCAATGGCATAAATTTCCTGTCAGATGAGTTGAACTGCATACTATGAAGTACTTTGCTAAAAGCACACAGTTGGAAATTGTTTTGTCAGTGAGTTAGAGGCACGGCTCTTAGATTTCCCTTTTGTTTTTAATGGAAATGCATTTGGCAGCTCAGACCACATGGAATATAATTAAAACCTCTAACTGTTCATCCATCTATGGACACCTAGGCTGCTTCCAGATCTTGGCTATTGTAAATGATGCTGCAATGAGCATAGGGGTGCATAGATTTTTTTCAAATTACTGTTTTCATTTTCTTTACATAAACACCAAGGAGTAGAATTGCTGGATGCTATGATAGTTCTATTTTTAATTTTTGAGGAATCGCTCTACTGTTTTTTATATTGGCTGCACCAATTTACATTTCCACTAATAGTGTTTGAGCATTTTCTTTTCTCCACATCCTTGCCAACCCTTATTATTTCTTTGTTTTTTATAATAACCATTCTAAGAGGTGTGAGGTGGCACTCACTGTGCTTTGTTTTGCACTTCCCTGGTGATTAGTGATATAGAGCATCTTTTCATGAGTCTGTTGCCATCCATATGTCAACTACATTTTAATTTAAAACAACTCAGAGATGGAAAAGCATAAACAATTCCCTCGTTGTTATCTTTATCCAACCTGAATCCTGTCCTTGTTTCTAAGGCACTTCTCGTGTCTGGAGGCTACTCCAGTGGGCCTTCGGGGTGAATGCACCTCAAGAGTGCTGTGTGGCAAGAACCCAGTGCTGCTTGCATCATGAGCTTCTGGTATTTCATATCTGCAACAGCCACCGGGGACCATTCAGATTCTCATTAAAGTAGGGTCTTTGCCTGTGATGTCTCTGTGTTTAGTGAAGTTTCCTACAAGTAGCACATGGCCACAAAGGAGTTTGCTCCAACTCTGATAACTGGGCCAGAAGAAGCCTCCTTTAGCTGCTACTTGTGGTTCAAATGCTCTGTGGAGTTCACTAAGCTGAAACTGGGAACTGGCTTTGAGCTTAATTAACATCATCCTCTGTGATTATGATTGAATCCCAGAGACTCCTTTTATGTTATCAATCTATGTAAGACAGGTAAGTTTCTTTTTTCTATTTAGATACTTCCTTCCCTGCCATTCTTAGTTGAAGAAAGTAGAGTATTTGTGCCTCTAAAAGAAGAATGACTACCCATTTTAACTCATGTGTGAGTGATCATTAAGGGAACTCATATTGGACATTCTGGTTCTAAGCGCACCATGGGAAATCCTGAACTGCTCAGGAGAATAATCAATGTATGATTACACTGAACTGCTTATTAACTGTGACACAGTAATGTGTTTTCTTACTGAGCATTAATTGGATGTTTCTGTCAGAGCTTTAATTTAGTATAATAGAGTGACAGTATTCAGAGAGCAAAATAACAAAGTATGTATTAATACTAATGAGACTTGGTTCATATACCTTTATTCTTTGGCAAGTTAGAACAGCAGCGAAAAGGAGACGAGAAAGAGAGAGCAAGTGTGTTTATCTCAAGAATCTAGTTAGAATTTTAAGAAAGCTGCCTTTAAAATCATGCTCTGGAGGCCACTGCTGTCCTATTGCATGTGAGCTGTGGTGAAGTGGCCAGCACTGTTGGAAAACACCTGACCAGAATACCAAGGGCTCCCATGTCAGAGCGGTGAATGGCTGGCTGTAGAGTCCATGTTTTATCTGAAACCTAGGACTCTGCTCTAATGATGCAGAATAGCCAGCCTAACAAAACACATACAGCAAATATCACAGTGATTTATTCTTATGTTTATATAGGTAAACTTAGTTAAATATAATGCTTACAGTTCTCACAGGAGTGCTTCAGTAGTGTCTGTCGAATGTGCAACTTACGTGACATGTACCATGAGAAGGATCTGGTTCTACTCTGCAGACTTTGCCTTTGTTACTCGTTTCACCCATGTTTACATTTCAGCTCTCATATTAGAGAAACACACTTTATAGTACTATAAAATGCACATTAAACTATTTTGAGATACGTCTTCCCAGTAAGTCATGTTGAGCTCCTTTGGTTCCTCCACTTGATTCCTGAGGACATTTAACAGCATTTTTAAAACCTGTCTTCCTATCATATTTTAAATATATTTTAAAATATATGTCTATCTTATTTAGTATCATTTATTACAGCAGACAGAAAATTTTCATAATATATATTGATATTTTTCACAAATTTCAGGGCAATCATTTTATTTTGCTAGTTAATGTGATGTATATTTTTGATCATCATTACAAAGTACTTCTTAGGCTTCTCTCTGTGTGGAACCAGGCCGGTTTTTACCCTGCTAGTGAGTTTGAAAGCATCCCAGCCAGATGGCAAACACAACAGGGGAAGAGACTCTGCCTTTAATTTTTCTTTCTCCACTTTTTTAAACTGAGTGTCCCTCACAGTTCCAAAAGTTCTTCCTGCTCACTGGCTATCTATATATATATATTTATTCTATTTCAGCAGGTAGGCTATAAATCCTTAGAGCAAGGCCTTGAGGTTTCAGTCTCTATGGCCCACTCCCCAGGTCTTCAGAGAAGGGACTGAAGGAAGACAGCACTGCTGGAAAAAAGTGGTACCCACCAAGAGCCTGCGGCCAGGCTCAGGGCAGTCCTTGTTCAAGACCAAAAAAAAAAAAAATGGCTATTAGGCATTACATGCACAACCTTAAAGTCTCATCTGAGAATTTGTAATCTAAATCTGAAATACAGGCAGGCAATCAGAGTCCCATGACCATTGAACAATGATTTAATAATAATAGAATTTAATGGGTAGTATTGATTATGGAGCACAACCACAATAATACACAATAATAGATACATTTATTGACAACTAAGTACACACCATTATTTGAATGTCAACATGTAGTATTTCACATATTGAATAATTCTTGGCATAACTCTCTGCATTAAATAATGTGAGCCCCACGTTACTACAGCAGGGATTAGAGGAGCCTTGTAGATATAACCAAACCATCCTATGGCTGCCTCACCAGTCAGTGAAGGGCTGCAAACTGGAATTCAGGTGGATTTACACCCAGAACTGACGTGTTCACCCCCCCACCACCTCAAGGTGTCCGTCATGGATAACAGTGAGTGTTTCACTCTCATAATGAGATAGAGACTTCTGTGTTACTGAAGTCCAACTTAATTACATAAATTCATTTTCTTTTTTAAGAAAACAAAGTAAATAATAGTTCTTAGAATGGACTTGTGTAATTCTTATACTACTCCTGGAATTAAGGAGTAAATTCAGGGAAACCACAACAATAAAAAAAACCTCTTGCTTTAGCAAATATTTAGTAAGGAGCAGTACTATTTTACATACTATATGTATTTCAATTCTGTATTTCTTGCTTTCAGTGGAAAAAAAGAACTTCTTTGGTTTGGTTTGGGTTTGTTTAATTTATTTTTATTGTTGTTCAAGTACGTTGTCTCCATTTCCCCCACCACTCCTCCTGCCCCAAAGATCCCTACCTCTCACCCTTGATCTTACCCACCTTTGGCTTTGTCCATGGGTCCTTTATACATGTTCCTTGACAACCCTTTGCTTCCCCTCCATCCTGTTATCCCCCTTCCACTCCCCTCTGGTCACTGTCAGTTTGTTCTTTATTTTAAAGTCCCTGGTTATATTTTGCTTGCTTGCTGTTTTGTTGGTCAGGTTCCACTTAAAGGTGAGATCATATGGTATTTGTCTTTCACCACTTGGCTTATTTCACTTAGCATAATGCTCTCCAGTTCCATCCATGCCATTGTGAAAGGGAGGAGCTCCTTCTTTCTGTTGCGTAGTATTCCATTGTGTACCAGTATACCTCCATTTTTCTACTCTTCATTAAATAGATATAGTTGAAACAATGTAACCTTTGTCTTAAATCAAAGTGACCAGTAAATTACAATAAGATGGAAGAAGTGTTTTGTTGAGAAATTAATCTTACTGATTTTCTTTCCTTTGAAGTTTGCTTTAGTTATAAATTTTTTAAAAACAGTAGTAAAATGAAGTAGCTACATTTTTTCAAGAGAAATAACAACTTAAAAATATAACTAGTTTCAATGTGAGATGAAAGAGTTTTTAAGGTAAAAGGATTATTACCTAACGGTCACTGGTTGGGCCCAACCACTTTGAGAGAGGGATTTAGTTCAAGGGAACTGGTTGTGATCTCTGCTTTTCCAATGCCTCTTCACTCATACTCAGATGGGCTAAGTAGGAAGTCCAAGGTTATAAGCAACAATAGGAGCTAGAATTTGAACTCAGGTATTATTAAGATTAGAACGTTGTACAATCTGTTTGGTTTCTTTCTATGGAGGGAGATTGGATGTTGATAATCTAAATTAAAATCCATGGGCCATGTCTTTTTCTGAATCAGTAATAATCTATTTTTTGCTATTTTATTTATTTATTTTTGAAGAGTTCATTTTATTGTATTTCTTCCCATTACCATTTACCCCCTCTAGTATACTTATTCTTGATAACATTGATCAATCTTACCTCTCTTTTAACTAATTTACACTCAGTATTAAATTTAAGTGTATTCAGATCATATAAGATTTAAAACTAAAAAATTAAGTGCTCAGGAGTAGAGTAAGAGATCCACAATGTACAAAATTAACTTATTTTCATAAATATATTTATGAAAAGGGGGGTAGGGTCAAGGGTGGGAGGAAGAGATGGCTGGGGTGGAAGGGAATGGAGGGGGAAAGTGGAGACAATTGTACTTGAACAACAATAAAAAATGTAAAAAAATATTTAATTTTACTTATGTTTCCAGTCATTTGTTTCCTGATGGGGTTAAATAATGATAAATAATATGTAGAATTCAGTACACTAAAAAGAATTTGGAGGGCATATTTTAATTTGCCTATATTTGACAGTTCATTGTCAAGGGTAAAAGTCTATTTACCCTCATCAAGAAACAAAACATCTCTGCATCTTTTCAGCCTGCCATTTGAATAAAAGGCAGGGGCACCTGCTACCTGAAAAGCATTATCATGTTTTGGAAATACTCCATGTATAATAAACTGTTGATAGTTTAATCAAGATAACTATGCTGTAGAGAATTTGAATCTATTTGACCAAAGGCATTCAGGACTATCCATTATACCATCATGATTGAAAATATAATATATTCAAGCCAGAAGTGGAGAAAAATAATGTGTTTCAGGAAAGCCCTCCTGATTATAGCAGCCTAGTTATGCTGAAAGACCATAATTAAATTAGTTCATTGCTTTATCTTGCTTAGTGATTCAGACAATTTTAGAGCTGGTGGGGTCTTTGAAATATGTTTAATCTAAGCTATTCATTTTATGGATGAAGGAACTAAGATTATGAGGTTATATATTCTTGCTCTAGTTCATATGGTATTTTAAGAAAAAGTTAGGATATCAATCCAATTATTCTAACTCCTAATTTAGAGCTCTTATACTTGACTTCCTGGAAATTCTATGTAAAGATCATACTGAATATGGAAATACAGATTTTGTTCAATAGGCAGTGGAAGATGTCAAAGCAACAAATGAAAGGCCAGATTCCTTTGCCCACTAAGCAGAGCGTGGCCACTCTGAGTCATCTTTACTCTCATTCTAGAGAAAAATAAGCCTCAGTTGTCAACTGGCAAAAGTGAGCATTTTCCACCCTGCCCAACCCATCACTACCCTGTCCCCCGGAGGCACACACACAGTCACTGCATCCTGATCTGAAATTCACAACTACTGTAGTTGCTAACACTACATGTGCCTGGGTGTTACGGTATATCATATCAGAAAGCCTTCTGGTTTTAGGCGTATTTTGATCTCATATTCAGCATACTTAGCTT